TACCCTATAGGGCGGCACATACCCGTATAGCAAATATAGGGGAGTACCCCCCCGGGCACGCATCATTCGCACACCTTGCCGACAATGGATAAGAGAGAGATCGGCCTGTAGTTCTTCACTAGGTGAGCAAGTCGAATTAACCGCCGAACTTTCGAAGCCCTAATTTCCTAAACGAGCGTTTTTGAGGCTTTTTCGCTGAAGAAACACTTCAAGACACATAATAAACTATTAATCTTTATTTCCAGATTATTTGTTTTTGAATACCGAACTCTATCGATAAACAGCCATCTCTATGCCACAGGGATTCCTAACCAGAGAAATCCGAAACCACTAATAGAGTATGTGCAACCATGTGACTAAAAATCCCTTGAGATATGAATAACAATGAAACAGCCGCCATCTTGGAACAGGGGAGTATTCAGCTGCGCATGCGCATTGCATCTTAGGCACTTGCTTTGTTTTGGTGATCAATGGCGGAGAAAGATTACCGAGTGTGTCAAATCGTGCGCCAGTTGTGCACCGCAAAAGGATTTTCTACTCTCAACAATCCAAGAAATAGCTAAATGGGCTTTTGATGTGTAATTGTGGCTGGAATCAGCGAGTGAAAGAACACAGTTGAGTTCTAAATTGCTAAACAAATATGCAAAGCTGCTATCCATTTACGGGACTGACACCAGCACGTTGTGGCTTGCTTGGGTTTTTCGAGGTGGATATCTGATATATAACGAAGACTACTGCTCCAAAACCCTGTCTTATGGTAAGTTTTAGTTCTCTAGTTTGTCATTAACATATAAGAATGTAAATCGGTGGTTCTCTTTCAGAGAAATCCAGCTCGAAAATTTTACGGTATTATGTGTGAAACCTTATGTGAGTGATAGACATGCGTTTATCATGATTAAATAACCAGGCGAGGCAGGATGTGCGGTGAGCATAGAAAGCAAGGGCTTCATAATTAACTATGTTGGCAGCCAGTTGTTCATGTTGTCAGCAAGCTAGCGTTCAAGAAATCAGCTTAGAATTTTTTTAAAAATTTTTATTACTCTCTGTAACCCCCCGGGGGATATTGCAATTGGTCTCGCACAATAAATGACCCAAGTAACCCCAACGAGTGTTGTGTATTTTAGACGCATTCATTTTAGACTTAGTTGACGGTGAATTTCCTGTAATCGTAGATAGAGTATCACAGTTCGGAAATTAGAACTAGTTTTATCGTCCTTTCCTTCTTTGTTTTTTGTGGGTTTTATTAGCCTCAAAATCGGAGAAAA